GTATTTAACCTAAAAAATATGTTATCCACGTCAGCATCACTATTTAATTAATCTTTAAATAGAAAAAATTGAAAGTTAACATCCTTAAATAAAAAATGTTGAAAGTTGATATCCTTATTTTAAAAAAATTAAAAATTGACATTTTTATTTAAAAATTGACAAAATTAATATTTTTAAATAAAAAAAATATAAAATTAGAATCCTTATTTGCAACTTACTCTTCATCTTTTCCTCCTTAAAAAATGAAATCAACTTTAGGAGAAGAAAAAGGAAATCGAAAGCATCTTTTTTTAACCATCAATTCATGAACCGGTTCTTTTTTTTTCTTTTTCTTTTTTTTTTTGCATAAAAATTAAAAAAAAAAAAAAAAAGAAACCCAAAAATCTTTTAACCGGAAATTAGGCACTCGTGATAAAAATGTCTGTTTCTCCCCAAAATCCCAAGCACAGATGAACCCACCGCCCACAGTATTACCTCCCCCGAGTTTCTTCTTTTGAAACGTGTCGACCACCTTCCTTTCTCCTCTTCTACGTGTCATCTCACATGATCTAAAGCGGCACCGCTGCCGTTGCACCGTTTCGCTTGACGGCACTCCCAAGATGCTGCCTTGCCAATGTCAACGAACACAATCATCACCTTTCGTTCGTATACAAAATTTGATACCGGTATTTTAGTATTTAAAATTATATTGAATTATAAAATATAAAAAATAAAAAAGGACTGCATTACTTTGAAAGTTAAAATACATTTTCAATATAATTTATAATGAAAATTTTGTTTTGTAATCTAAATTATATTACATTGTAAAATAAATATTATTAGATGAAAGAGGATGAGGAGAGTTCTAATATCAAGGTCACTAATATTATATAGTCTGATATAATTTACATTGCATAACACTAACTTAATTTATAATAGAATTTCTCTAACATGTACCTAATGGTGTAATAAATGCACTTTTTAAAGATAAATTTGTGTTGGAAGAATAGATATTAACCTTTAATTTATTAATTATTTAATTAAATTTATTCATGTGGCAAAATTAATGTCAATTTCTATAGTTTTCAATACAAAATTTTGTATTGAACAATAAAATAAGAATCATTGAATAGGGAAGGGTCCTAATATCAAGGACTCAACTCTTATTCAATAATTAGTATTATAGAATCTGATATAGTTTAGATTGTACAACATTATCTTAATTTGTAATAGGTTTTTCTAACCTATGCCAAAAAAAATAATAAATACATATCTTAAAGATAAAATTTGTATTGAAAGAATAAATATTAATCTTTAATTTATCAATTATCTAATTAAATTGATTTACATAGCAATAGCATTGAAATTAATATCAATTTTTATAGTTTTCTATACAAATTTATGTACTAGGTTATAAACGAGAACTATTGAATGAGGGAAGATTGAATGAGGGAAGAGCCTAAGATCAATGATTCAGCTCCTATCCAATAGTTAATATTATGTCGTTTGGTATAGTTTAACTTATACAATACTAACTAAATTCATAATATGTTTTTTCTAGTTTGTGCCTAAGAGTGTAATAAATACACCTTTTAGAGATAAATTTGTGTTGGAAGACTAGATGCTAACTTTTAATTTCTTTTTTAATTTATCAATTATTTAATTAAATTTATTTTCATAAAAATAACACTGAAAATTAATATTAAATTTTATTTTTTTAATACAAATATATTAATAAAAAAAATACTTTTAACCTTTGTCTTTAAAAAAACCTTTATAACAATCAATTTTATTAAAGGTAGGTGTTGAGGAGGTAGAGTACTAAAAACAAAGAATCTGGAAAACACATTGTGGGCTTTCCATGCACAAGCTGGTAGCCGCAAAGCCATAGCTTTTGTCTCTGAAACAATTCCAATCAATGTCAATTTCAACTCTGTACTCCACTGGTCATCAGTAACCTTAATTTCGAAGGTTGCACAAATCTTAACTATATTCCGACATCAGTGCTCATTTGGTGACTACTAATAGAACAACTAAACGTTAATCTGGGGACATAAACATACAGTCTGAGAAATAGGGTCGGAATTATTAATTCTTCTAGGTTCTGAAAGTATGCGGCAGGCTGGTAAGTGCACCAACCTTAACGACTATGTCATCAATTCCTAACATCGATATCCACCCCACAAAATTGCAACCGAGAGCTGTGATACGTATGAGTTTGATCTTATATGATGGGCTCCACCACATAACTTCTTTTAATTAGAAATAAATTTACAATTGCATGTACTTTATTTATTTCTTATTTTTTCGAACTAACCAACTTAAAAGCACTTCTTTGTCAGATATCTAATTTGAGATAGTGAAAAAACAACTTGTTTTTAACTTCTAATTCTTGTTTGTAGTGCATTTTTTGTCTTGTGAAAAATAAGAATAACATCAAAATGGGTATTTTTAATAGGTAATTCCATATTTCATAGATGATAGAACAGAGGAAAACAACATAGGGGGAATTGATTTCATTTGCAAGCAAATTCTCCAACTCTTTAGCCACATTTCCTACATTTTACCCATTCAAGATGAAAAAGAGAGGAAATTTTCTTTTGGGGCTATCTAAGCATAGGCACTAAAATTAACATCCGGAGGCAAGGTGGACGGCATAAACGCCAGAAAAACGAGAGCCGCCATCATGAGAACAGGGATCCACATCAAGAACATTGGTGGCGGCGGCAATGGCGGCAGCACCATCGGCAGCACCAGCAGCATCACTGTAAATAGGGCCATCATAATGCTTGGCTTCAACCCAAAGACGAAGGTTACACTAATAGGAGCGTCCTGCATTTACATTCATTAGGTGGAGGTGGCCGGAGGAGAATAGAGACAGTCGACGGTGGTTGGAGAGAAGTGAACGTGGGAGAGGATCAGAGCCTAGGGGGGGTGTTTGAAAGAGACTTGTGTGCTGATGGGACTGTAGTGGAGAGGGGTATTTATGGAATCAGAGGGAGGAGGGTTGTGCGTTACGGTTGCCACAACATGTCCAGCTTAATCCTATGACAAACGTCTCTCATCTTGGTGAGTAATGGACATTTATGATTCCTTTACTGCCCGAGGGTATTTTGGGAATTGTGTTGATTTATTGGTGGGTAAAATTGTTTCTGATGATCCTTGAAGTTTAAGAATGATTCATTTCGATCTGTTAAATTGTGGTTCTTGTATATGGGATCTAACCTAGCAAACTTATGTAGTGGCTTCCAAACTTATAATTTTTTTCATCAATTAAGTATGTATTGTCAACCAATATTTTCTCAACAATAAAATCTCGAAATATTAGATTTATCATGTCTTTCTTGTTTACTTCCTAATCTATGACACCTAGAGCAACCATACATGCAATTAATAATATCCTAGTTGACATGATAGGAATAATTTTGTTGCAACCAAATATCATTATGCAAGTGTGTTTTCCTAGTTGACAACAGTTCCTTAGCAAGCATGTGTCACATTGTCACTATATTCATAATGTCGCAATTGATATGTCTCAAACATTCCCTTACAAGCATTTGTTGCTATGTATAGGTGGATAACATAACTAATTTGTCATGGAAGTTCTTTGATAAGCATGTGTCACTTGGTGTGATATCCCGGTTGATATGTCTTAGACAATTCCTCAATGAGCACATGCATATCACCGTGCTCACCATGTCGCCATTCATCATGTGATCTACGCTATCTCTTTATAAGCACATGTTATTTTCTCACTAGTCAAAGACTAATAAAGAAATTATCAAGAAAATTTGTTCGATCAAGGAGTAAAAGGCATTAAGCATCATTATTGAACTCATTTAATTTCCTTCTTCACTAATTTCACCCCCAAAATAGAACAAATTTTCTTTTCCCTCTCTCCTTATTGACTTGGTTACTGCATTGGATTTGGATGCATTTGTCATAATCGATAATTCCAACATTCTCAAATAGAATTTTTCTTCGTCTTGCAAGTTTATGTGAGGTTTCCCTAGGCTTTTACCATCTACATTTCTCTATTTGGAAATAATGCATTTATGGTGTCTAAGAAAGGAAGAAGTTTATGGTTGAAGATTTCGCCAAAATTTAATTACAATAGGATAGTGTATTCAACCATCCAAATTCAAGCAACCAACCAAAAATGAAGGAGAGTTGCTTCCCCTTGTAATTTTTCCTCATTCACACTCAGCTTCTACTAGGTAGGAAGTCACTTTCATTGAACTTTTAGCATGAAAGTGGGGCACATATGGCTAATTGGCTATGCAATTAAGTTAAGAAAAAAAAATACATACAATGTAAAGGAAAATTAAATATAGTACTATAATGAATTAACTTTAACTTAGCTCCTAATATAATAATTGATTGTTTTGATTCTTTGTACCAAAAGAAAGAGAATTATTTTCTCATGAATTCTTTAATCTACTTTGTAATTGGCTATGTTTTCAATCTGTTTAACCAATTCAGTGCTATTCTAAAAAAAAAAAAAAAAGTAAAGGGTCTAAAAGAAATAAATGGCCTTTTTTTGGATGTGTTTGAAAATTGAAAGTATAAGAGAACGCGATTTGAACTTCCAGTCTTTTACTTTATTTGAGAAAAGGATTGTAAGTTGTAACTGTATTGGCATTGGAAACGTGCGATGAACTTAAAAATTCACGTGGGGACTGAAAAAATGAATAGTGTCTTATATCATTTATTTATCTTATTTTAACCTTGAGCATGCAGAAAACTGTTTTATTTTTTTTTTTAAACAATTTTACAGGAAGCTGAATTCGAATTATTGTTCAAAAAAAAGAAATACACTTAAATGTGATTTAATGTCAGTGGATCGAAGGTCCAAGCATAGAAAATAACTGTTCTATTATAACCATTATTTAAATAGAATTTTATTTAAATGATAGTTGTGATTAGATATATTAATAATTTTAATATTAAAGTATTTTATTTTATTTTTTTTAACTTTTGTATAAAATTTTGATAAATTATTTTATAGGTTTTGTCTACTTTGTGTTTTTAATTTTGTGTAAATTTTTATATTAAATTTATATTTTTTTAGGAATTTTAAGTATAAATATTATATTGTATTATATTTTTTATATTTTATTTTAATTGAATTTGGTATAAAAATTTATACAAAATTAATTATAAATACTTTATTTTATGAAGCTTAACATGTGTTCTTAAAAAATTCCTATTTTATATAATAAATAGATAATAGTTGAAGTATTGTTTTCTTTTTATATGTAATTTTTATTGAGTATTTTTATTTTAATAAAAAATATTTTTAAATATCATTTATTTACTATATAAAATTATTAAGTTAATTTATATTAAATTAAGGGACTAGAACAACTTAAAAAGACAAGAGAGAGAATTACGTAAAAATAAAAAGTGTTTTTACATTAACGATAAAAAAAATTTAATAATAATTTTTTTTTTGAATAAAAGTAAACAATCTTAAATTTGAATGTATAACATGTAAGTAAAGTGAGTAAAAAGATACGAGAGAGTTGATTATTTATTATGTAACTTTGGACTAAAAAAGTGCTTTTATAATTTATACTATATTGAATTATAAAATATTAATTATTAAATAATAAACACTCTGATAATGGTCGCTCACCTCTTTGTATCGGTATTTGGTAGTCTAAATTAGACCCTATTTAGAATCCAAAGAGAAAAAATATCTACATTTTAGGATATTAAAACAAGGTGTCGTACCGTTTACCAATTTTCTCTTTTGTTAATGTCATTAAAATTGTGTTAAAAAATAATAATTATATTTTATTTAATTATTAAAAATAATTAATAATATTATTTAATAAATTAAAATTAATTTATAAATTAATATTTTTGGACATTATAATTATCTATTTAAAGGAAAAATTACAAATATTAGTTAAATAAAAATACAATATTAGTGACCGTAACCACAGTGTC